TGATGTAAATCGAAATGTGCCTTGTTTGTGTTGAGTTTCCAGGTGTCACCAATTCAGATGCAGGAATTACTTCTTCATGTGTTTCTGTATGTTAACGTCCTTCAAGCTCTAAGGTTCTAAAATGATGCTGACCATTATAAGAACATTAACTCACACCTTCCAAATTATTATTAGTTCAGTTGAACTAAACTGGAAAAATGTATACTCGATAATTTATTTTGAAAACAGGGGTGGAAGAACTATTTCAATATTTAAGGAAACCAATTATTCATTTCTATGAAGAGCTCATGATATAATGAACTTCAGTTACTATTCCCTTTCATGCACCAGGCACCAGAAAAGCACTTTAGCAGGGTCACAGAGGCTATCAGAAATGCCCTGGTGCTCAGGTGAGGGTTTTCCAGAGCAGCAAGTCACATTAAAAAACACCTGGGAGGGGTGAGTTGTGCCACCCACACATGCACACTCACACCCTCATGCACACACATGTACAGGATCAAGTCACCCTTTTCTCTACCTACCCTCCCTAGTGCAGTGCTTTCATCCTCACTGTGTCATGCAACTATTGATTTCTTTGATTTTTCTCACAATGTTGCTGCCCACTATTCTTTCTCAAAAATCATTTGTTATTTCCTGACTTCTCAATTTAGTCTTGTGTCATTCAGAAGTTTCAGACACATTGTGTGTGTTAGTTGAGGCCTCTCCACTCTTGCCTTGTGTACAGATTAGTGAAATATCTCTTCCTTCCTCCTTTTCTCCCTTTGTTATTTCAGACATTACCCAGGAGGGCTCCACCACTGAGCTTCACCCTAACCCTGTTAATTGTTATTTTTTAAGAGAGTGAGACTGGCCTTGAACTTGTAGTCACCCTGCCTCAGCCTGCTACAGCTGGGACCATAGGTATATGCCCTTTTGTGCCCTACAAGAATCATCACCAATCATTGCAATTACTGATATCTTTGAATCAGTCAAATTTACTCTCCAATTAGAAGTGTCAAAATTGGAATATAAGTCAGCATTTTAAAACACTTATTGTTTGATCAAGGTTGTATAAATTTGATTCATTATAAATTGTTCCTTGATCAAACAGCACAAATTGTAGGTATAAGCTTAAGTTCTCTCATGTCAGAATGTGGAGAAAAAGCTTACATCAGCGTAATAAAATCAGGGAAATAGGCTAAAATATCCTAGAATTGATTGTTCAAATATATATAGTCAGTCCAGGTATACATAAATGTGTTTCTCAATTGTTTTGACCTTTCCATGTCGTCTGTCTAGATAATTATATTAACATTTTCATCAGGTAAATTTAGAATATAAAGACCTTTTCGTTTACCTGAAGATGATTTCTTTCTTCTTAGGACCTCCTAGTAGACATCCTTTTATTTCTGTCACTTAGAGCTAGATAATCATACTAGCAAACATGTGTGTTTCCTCTCTGCAGAAACATCTTCGTTTTCTTCTATAGAAATCTTTCTTTTTGTTTTACTTTGGGACAATTTTTATAAATCTTAGAGTCTAAAGAAATTACTTATTGTACCTTGATAAGAAGTGTCTCAGTGAAAATATAGTTAAAGCTGTTGGACATTTCTGTTGACAGAATCATATCTATTTATCATCTTATAAAAGTTGGTACAGTAATTTGATAATTAGAGATTGCTTGATGGTTGTATATCTTTTGAAATAGATATTTTATAATAAAATACATTCATCTTAAATATCTACTATAAAATGCAGAGCATGAGATAAATGCATGTATAAGAAATGTAACTGAAATGTTTACTGTTGAAAAACAATTAAAAGCAAATAGATACATATTAATTAAAATCAGACATATGTCAATTATTTTATGAATTAAGGACTCTAGATCATCCAAATAACTGGAAAAATATGCATTCGTAATAAAAATATAACTTACTGTTATATAATCACGGAATTTTAAAGTGAGCCTCATTAAATCTTGTGGCTCTTGAAAGTATTTGGGCCCATTCATTTTACTTTGGACTAGTAGTGCACTCATTCTATTTGTGATGTCATGTGATGTGGTTAAAAAAATTCTTGTGTATACATTTGTTTGTTTATTGTAATTACGTAGTCAGGAAAGAGAAGAAGGATTTCTTGGTCATCACAGAATCATTGTGAGGAAGGATCTCAGATGCTGGCTTTGATGTCTGAGGGGTGCAAAACGCATTCCCATGATCTCCAAAAGTGTAAGAAGACTATGTTTGTGACCTCTCATCAATGGAACGTTATTTAGTAATAATTCCATGAAGAGCAAAGAGAAGCACTCTAAAGGAAGCTGTTGAGACACACACACACACATACACACACACACACACACACACACACACACACACAGTTATTTAGCTTCAGAACGAGTCAGGCTTAGGGCTGCAACGGGGAAGCCTGTGGAGTCAGATTTTGCCTGAAATAGATCTCTTGTATTTCAGGTGCACATTCTTAAAAATGCAGGCTCCCTGAAGCTCCAGTGACCAACCTGGGTGAAGCAGGAAGCACAGGTTAGTGGCTGGGAGGCGGGACCAGAAGCCCTGCCTGGGTGACACAGGAAAAACAAATTGGAAGCCCTGGAAAATGGGAAAGGCCTGATGAGGAAGCCAGGCTCTGCCCCCTAGGCTCCCCTGGTTACCATGGTGATGGAACAGCTGGGAACTGGCTGTGGCTGCTGCACCTGCCTGGGTCCCAAGGTCAGGGGTCAGCTCTCTCCTCCTTAATGGGCTGTTTCCCTGTGTCTTCCCCTCACCCCTGTTGTTCTCCCATCTTTTACATTTTCCCTTTCCAGAGCATGGGCACTTTAAAACAGTGATTTAAAGGCAGAGGCCAGCATTAATGTCCGACCCTAAGGCAGTCTGCCTTCGGCCCCCTGGTCAGGTTTCTTAAGGGTCAAAAGCACAGCTGGGTGGGGCTAGTTAAGACATTTTAGGGAGCAGCAGCTGGTCTTTTATCCTGCAGTCCAGTTAAAGCTGTTCCAACCCCAGTGAGACAAGAATGCAGGGAAGAGGCTCAGAACAAATTGTTTGAGCACATTTAAAAAAATAGCAGAAAAACACAATTTGCCTCTCTACCAGCAGAAAATGCCCTGTATTAAGTCGCACCACGAAAAATGTTTTCTTTTTCTCTTACCCTCCAAACATTGACCCATAGAATATAGATTCCAAAAAATCTTTATGTTGTTAGGGGGGCAAAATTGTGATGTATGCAGTCAAGGGGAGAAGAATGTCCATACGCTTTTGCCCCTTCCAGTGCTTTATTCACTCAAGTTCCTCCATACAGTTGCACTCTATAGGTTCTTAATCAAGAAAACACAATCCTTAATGCTGGGCACTGCAATAGACATAATCAATCCACAGCGAACAGTTCTAGATGCATTCTAAGCACTGCCAAACACACCTAATCAGGGCAGGCTAGTTACAGACATTCCCTCTGCAGGCTAAGTTCAAAGCTCTTAAGTCCTAGGCTTTGAGTCCAGCAGATGCACACTCACTCAGACCGTGGTGATCAGGTCTGGAACCGAGGTAGGCTTTCCCTAGTGTGGATCGGATGACCGGTTGAGGAGGGGGCCGTAGGGAGGAGTTGGGGCTCTCACCAAGGTCCAGATGAGGCGGTAGAGTGTGAGAGCAGTGAGGATCATGCAGAGAATCAGGAATGAGGACAAGTGATGGGATGTCGGGTCCTCAGCAGGCTCTCCAGCTCTAGTGCATCCTTGTTTCAGCTGGCTGAATCCCTGATCGTCAGCTCTATCATTTATACTAAATTTGGGGGCTTTTGACCCGGCTTTCAATCCCTACCAGCCAACACTGGGTTTCTCAGTGATGTCATTTACCCTGAGGTCAGAAACTTGTGGTCTGGTGGCCTCCACCCTGATCTTCTCCCTTTCCCTCTTATCAGGCAAGGACAGCCTGCCAGAGGCTTCACCCTCTTATTCAGGGTGAGTGGAAGGAACTTGTTTGAGGCCTTACTGGAGGGATCTGTGGATGTGTCTAGTGAAACTGCAGGTTAAACTGAAGTTTTTAAAGTGGAGTTGCTTAGGCTCAGGCCTAAGGCCATCCTAACACTTTACCTAATACTTTAAAATTAAAAAAATACACAAAAACAATGAAAACTTTTCAGAAAAGCAATTTTACCATAGGAGAGCACCTAACTTAGTAGCATATCCCAAGAATCACCTTCATAATTCTTTTTATTTACTCATGGTTTCTAGAATTGCAAAAATATTTTTTATCTTTCTACAGGCGAAAAATCCCTAGATCTTATGAGTCTAACATCACAACTTCTTCTTCTCTCCAATTCACTTACATTTTACAATTCAACCCACAACACTCTGAAATCCTAAGTGCACTTAACTTCTGGAGAGAAATTCCAAACTCACTAAATTTCTACAATTTACACTGAAGTTCAAGTACAGGACACCAATTGTCCTGACATAGGACTAAACCAGTCAGGGTCACTCCAGGTGAACTGGGCTGCATGACATTGTCACACAGAGACAGAGAAATGTCTTTTTCTTTGATTCTGTGATGACTCCCTCACCCAGCTCCCCCAAAGGAGGCAAGGCAGGCAAGAAAGAGAGAGAGCAGGCCTGGAGCCCCATTTTACTGGGGAGAAGCCACTCAAATGAGGATAGGGCCAAGATTCAGGGGGTGGAGTCTTCCTGATGTCTGCTGCCAGTAGGTTGACATCCTGGAAGGCCACGCCCATCTCATGTGCTGTGTGGGGATCAAGGGCAGAGCAAGGGAAGGGGACACACAAGGGGAGGTTCCATGGAACATTCTATCCCAAAAGGGCACAGAGTAGGATTCCGAAGGAACAGGTGGGTGTAACTCGACCCCACTGGGTGACGCCTACCCCTGGAGCCACACCTCATTATCTGAATGGGGGTGAGGCCCAATGTGTTGTGGGGCGCAGCAGCTGTTCCATACTCCCCTACACAGGACTTCACGTGACTCCCGACAGCACAATTCACAGCTCGGGGTGGGCTCGGGGCCAGCTGCCCCGCGTGTGGTGGTCAGGGCACCCCAGGAGGCTGTCTCCTGCGCAGTCAGCACAATGCAATGGCTCCTCTTGGTAAAGCTGTGGGACCAACGGGAGGCAGTCAGTGTCCGGGTCCAGCGGTGATCACCAGGTCCCACTGTCCCATGGTCTACAGAAGCAAGAATTGCTGCTTCCCCCCGTTCAAGCTCTGGGGTGGGCACGTCACAGGCGTTGAGGGGGTGTTATTTGAAGTTGTCCCCCTCAGACTCAGAGTCTGAGCCATGACCTAATGGAGCACAGCCCCACGACCATGGTTTACATCATGAGTTGGAAATTGTGATGTGTTTGGCAAAAGTAATGGTGAATGTGTTGTCACAGAAATTGTCTCATGTCCGTGTTCTCTTTAGCTTGATTTCATGGGAGGTTTTGCATATTTCATCTGACAAGGGAGCAATCTGGGTGCTGGGTGGAGAGGGGGGGGGCTCCCTAGGGCTGAGGACCCAGGATGCTCCTCTGAGCACATCCCTGCATCCTCCAGGGGAAGGTTGATGGCAGGGTGCCTTTTGTCTGGGGTGTCCTGGGTCCCTTCGTCTCCACTGTGAGGAGAGGGTCCCGGGGTCAGGACTGTTGGGGCTCCCAGGAGCCTGGGTTTCCTATTGGGAGTCAGAAGCCTGAGCAGTGACCTCCACACAGGGGCCAGGGGCTTAGGATCCTGTCCACGTTGCTCAAGTGAGGAGAAGGACACGTTTCCCGCCACAGGGGTGGCTGAGATCATGGCACAGCGCCAGGCTCCCCGAGTTCCTCTCCTGCAGGGAAGCTGCTGCTGCAGTTTTGCTTCGGTTTTTATTTCTCTTCTTTGCAAGTTGCACCTTGCATGTTCTCTGTTTCTGGAAATGTTGATATATTTTCACTTTTTACATGAGATTTGTGTGTATTTTATAGTAGTAAATGATAACGTATCATAGTGACAGCGTAGATTTATGCATTCATGACATTCTAATTTTTTTAAAATTTTATATATATATAAAATAAACCCAGTGGGGCTTGACCTGGACCTCTGAGCTACATCCCCACCCTTTTCCTTTCATTTTAAGAGAGGGTCTCACTGACCTTGGGCTCCTCCAGCCCCAGCCTCCCTGAGAAGCTGTGCTTTGTTTTTGTGTTGAGGTTAAACCCAGGGCCTCGCCATGCTCAGAAAGCACTCTATGGCTGAAGCCTAGCTCAACGCCAGGTGTCACCTCTGTACCAGAGGCTAAGCCAAGGCTTCCCACCTGGATTAGTTCCCAGCACAGCCAGGAAGCTCCGCCTGAAAAGGGCTGGGGCCAAGGATCTGTCACTCTACCCAATTTCAGCCAGTGATTGGACACCTAGGCTGTCAGTCACAATGCAGAGGCGGGCCTGGAGGCCATCCATCCGGGATGCGGGGGGACCTGCCCAATCAGTGCGCAGAGAGACAGGAAGGGCGGGCTTCCGCAATCTCGCGGGCTGTTTTTCTTCCTGGACTCTGCTCCTGATCCTTCAAATCAAAAGTTCTCCGCTCCAGGGACTCAGGTGACTTAGCACAGCCTGTGTCCCCACCCCCAGCTTGGGTGCATGGAGGTTCCTCAAGAGGACGCGGGGTCACCACAGAAGACAAAAATGGTGAGTTTGCTACCAGGACTGAAGGTTCCGGTCACCATCTGCCTTGGGGCCCGGCGCGCGGGTGAGCTGGGGTGCGCCGAGGAGTCCCCACTGACGCGTGTCCCTGTCCCTTGGTCTCGTGGGGTGAGCTGGGTTTTGGGTTTTTGAGGTGAGCTGCTGAGAGTGGCAGAGTCACCGCTGGAGGCTAGCCCTGGACCCTGTCTCCTGGTTCCCGAAGGGCGGCTCAGGTCCCTGGTGTCCCCTTTGCTCCCTACTGGTGGCCCACACCCACTCTTCCCAACGTGGAGGAAGCACGGCCACAAATGCACCTTCCTCCTCCCAGGGGAGCTCCTCCGGAGGCTGCTGTAGGTCCCCCAAATTGCAGGCGCCTCCTGCCTCTGAAACCCACCTTCCCTCCACCTCACAGCTGGGTCTGTAAGGGTCTGGCGGAGCTTTGGAGAAAGAGACCACAAGAGACCAGTGTCATGCAATAAGCAGGGGGAAGTTTTATTGAACAGCATGCTGGGGCTCCGTGCCCACTCAGGAAAGGAGAGCAGCCCAGAGCCCAGAGCAGAGGTCAAGCAGGGGAGGGCGGGGGGGGGGGCTTTGCATACATCAGAACAAATCATCTTGAGGCGCGGGAAAATTGAACAGCAACTTTGAGACATGATTAGTCACATTCATTGGCGGGAAAAGTCTGGGTAGGGGTGATTGGTCACCCGTGAGCGGGGTACACATTTAAACTGATTGGTTTTGTGGCCTGGATGCTTGCGTGCTGAGCTATTTGGAGCCCTTAGCTAATAAACAACCAGGGAATCAATGGAAATATTTACTGGGCAGTTCAGGTATTGTCCTAACAGCTACAGGGATTACAGGTTCCGGGGTTGCAGAGGAATTTTAACAATACCTGGTCTATTATTTTTTTTTTTTTTAGCCCAAGCCTTGTAATTTAGAAACCTTACAATGCCCGGTCTTTTACATTTTAACTGAGACATTTGCAGCTTAGAATCAGCTTAGACATTTTACCTTTACAGGCCAGACGTTCGTTCTTCCCACTGGGTCCAAATGGACACCGTCCACTAATTGTCACTTCTCATCTAGTGAAATATTGGAGAGAATAGTTCTTTTCTTTTAATTGGGGATCCAATCCCGGGGAGCTTTATCAGCCACATCTCCAGCCTCCCTTTATACTGAATTTTGAGATGGGCTCCCACTTGTTTTGAAGCTGGTCTCCAACTTGTGATCCTCCTGCTTCAGCTTCCCAAGTCCCTGGGATGACAGGCCTGTGCCACTGTCCCTGGCAAGAAGAACACTTTTGAAAGCCTTTGTTTTCTATTTGTGAATATTACACTTGAGGGGAAACAGTAATCACTTAACACTTTCCTGTGTTTGGTCAAAATAATTACTTTAAAGGGAATAAGGCACTTGTTTGTAGAACCTAGGGATATTGAATCCTGGGCTATGTACCCAGCCCCCCTCCCTTTTTGACATAAATTATTTTTTTTAAATTTATTTATTTTTCTTCTTTTAGTTATTCATGGCAGTCGAATGCCTTTGGACACAGCAGACATAAATAGAGTATAACTGCTTCTTTTTCGGATTGCAGTTGATGTCGATTCACATCAGTCCTGTAGTCATATATGCACATAGGGTAATAGTGTCTGATTCATTCTGCTTTCCTTCATCCCCAGCCCTTTAAATTTGATTTTCAGACAGGGTCCGGCTATGTTGCCCAGCCTGGCCTGAAAGTCATGATCCTCCTGCCTCAGTTTCCCAAGCTGTTGGGATTAAAGTCTTTGACAACCCCAGCTATGGAAAATAGTGCATTTTAACCCAAATATTAATGACCATACTCAGGAACATGGATTCAAGTACTGTAAATGGTGTATGTGTCCCACCCTGGAGGACAGATATTGAACCCAGGGGCACTTAATCACTGAGCCACATCCCCATCCCTTTGTATATTTTATTTTCAGACATGATCTCACAAAGTTCCTTATGGCCTCACTAAGTTGCTGAGGCTGCCTTTGAATTTAGCAATCCTCCTACCTTAGCCTCTCAAGCTGCTGGGATTGCACTTGTGTGCCACTGTGCCTGGCCTACATGAACTTCTATGAAAGAAAGTTGTGGAACCAATTGCATTAGCAGAATCATTAGACTGGTGGACTACAGAAAAAATTAAATGAAATTTCTTCTGTCGTTATTACATTCTTTCTTTGGTAGATGGTGGGGACTAGATGTCTGGTAAGGGTAGTGATATATTCTGAGAAGTTTTGAGAATTGTAGTCTGATACAGAAATTAAGATGATTGGCTATTAAACGGCATCTTCCTTAGGTGTAGACACCATGTCTGATTTCGTGGGCAGAGTTTCCCTTTGGACGCCTCACAGGGTCCCATGTCCTCAGCCACTGTCCTCTCCTGGAGCTGCCACAAGGTGCCCACAGCTGCCCTGGTCCTTGCAGGGTGAACAGAACTTCAGGCCCTGGGTCAGCTCCTCCTAGAGGACAGCCTGAGGTGTGGGGTGCAGCCTCTCAGGGAAGCTGCTGGGGGCTCTGGGCTGAGGAATCTCCTGGAACAGGCCTCATCTAGACAGCTACTTCCTTGGGACCTTGTTTTCCCCAAGCTCTGTTCCCATTCCTTGGAGACAGGTGGACAGTCAGCCTGTGGATGCTGGTGCTGAGGGGCCAGGTCAGCAGTGACTCCTGCCCTTTTACTCTCACAGTGTGAAGGAGCGAAACCTCTCCCAGAGCATAAGCAACACCCACCCCAGTGCAGAGCTGTGCAAACCTGAAAAGCCTCGTAGACTGAAGTCATGGTCCAGGTGTCTTGGAGGGTGATCCCAGAGGCTTTCAGAGGGCAAGACCTGGAGGGAGCATGTCCCAGCTGTCAGGGACCTTCCCTGCCCCTTGAGCCTGACACATGTGTGCTCCCTCAGCACCAAAGCTTTCTGTGTATCACTTTGAAATGTTGTGTTCACTTATCTGAGGGCCAGGATTATTTATTCAGAGCCAAATGGGATGGACTATTATTAAATAGGCAAAAAAAAAGTGGATTTTAATGTCTAGTTACATTTCCATTGTGAAAAATTCTAATTTACAGCCAGGTACAGTGGTGCTCACCTGTGGTCCTTGCTGTTCCAGAGGCTGAGACAGGAGGATTGCAAACTTGAAGATAGCCTTAGCGACTTAGCCAGGCCTTATGCAACCTGGTGAGACTGCGTCTCGAATAAAATATAAAAATGGCTCAGGATGTGGTAAAGTTCCTCTGAGTTCAATCTCTGGTACCAAACAAACAAACAAACAAATAAAACCCACCTAATTTACCTTTTGCTACCCCTGAGTATGTATAGAAAATTTGAGAGTCAATCTTGTCTTTTCAATGATTTCCAGTTGAAATCCATGTCCTAGATTCCGGAATGCCACTTAACATACGGAGAAACTCTGTCTTCCATTTTGCTGCTGAAAATGAATCCATTTTACAAAAATAGTTGTGGATAAATTTATGAATGAATTTCATAAAAACTAGTTTCTCTCCTTTACACGGTCATGAATTTGACAGGGGATAACAGTTTGTGGTTGTTGTTGTCTGGACTTTTCAGGTTCATGCTAACTGTGTGCTTTTTTGGTATCAGGAATGGAATCCATAGGTGCCTAACCACTGAGCCACATCCCTGGCCCCTTTTAGATTCTTCCTTTTTAGTCAGGGTCTTGCTACATTGCCTCAGGCCTCTGACCCCTGAACAGCTGGGGTTACAGATGTGCACTATCACACCCATCTTCATTGCAAATTTTTTTTTTTTTTAAAGAGAGAGTAGGAGAGGAGAGAGAGAGAGATAGAGAGAAAATTTTTAATATTTATTTTTTTAGTTCTCGGCGGACACAACATCTTTGTTGGTATGTGGTGCTGAGGATCGAACTTGGGCCGCACGCATGCCAGGCGAGCGCGCTACCGCTTGAGCCACATCCCCAGCCCTTCATTGCAAATTTTAAGGACAACTTTGGCGATATCTGAAATACCCAACTGTGATCATTTAATCAGTGAATAATTTATCAAATAGTAAATGAGCATTCCCACCATGTTACCTGATTTCTGTTTCCTCCTAAGTGCCTCCTCTTAGGGCTACCCATTTGGGAGCTGGCCTTTTAGCTTATGAAACTTGGGAGTAGCATAAATGCTCTCTCTACTCTCACTGTCCTGTACAATATTTTCACTGGTCTTAGATACAGTGTACTATTATCCATGCCCTGACTTTCTCATAATTTTCTGAAATGCTCTTTGTTTTTTCAAAGAGTGTGGATCATGGGAAAGTTCAGTCTCCTTTGTAAGAAAGTGTGTTGTCTTTCCATTGATTTTGTTGCCTCTGATTGTGTATCTTTTGTATTATAATCTTTTTTATCACTCATTACATATATTTTCAGTTTTTCTTTGTGATTTTTTTAATGTGTGTGTGTGTGTGTGTACTGCTGAGGATTGAACTGAGGGCTACCAAGTTCTTTACTCCTGAGCTACTCTCCAGCCTGAGATAATTAGTATTGTAGACTGTTGTTTACTTATTTGCTGATGTATTGAGTGCTAGGATTGAAGCCAGGGACTTACTCATGCTTATGTTGTCCTCCAAAAATGAATTTCAATGTGTGAGCAGCATTTTGGAGGTGGGCAGGTGTTTAACTGGGGAATAAACCTACAGGCACTTGACCACTGAGCACATCCTCAGCCCTTCCTATTTATTATGTACTTTTTAATTTTTATTTTGTATAGTTGTAGATGGACAGAATACCTTCATTTTGTTAATTTTTGTGTGATGCTAAGGATTATACCCAGTGCCTCATACATGCGAACAAATGCTCTGCCACTCAGCTACAATCCCAGTCCCCCCATTTATAGTTGATGAAGACCAAGTCTCACAAAATTTCTGAGTGTCTTGCTAAATTGCTGATAGAGCCTCCAACTTGCCAGTTTCATGCCTTGACCTCCCTAGTGGCTGAAATTACAGGTGCACACCACCACACCAGCAGTTGGA